TTTGTGGGGATATTCCCTATGCATGTACTAGCTAAAGATTTCAAATTCAGCCCCCAGGTATGCGTATGAAAGTAGGGGCGTATGAAAGTTTTAGGGGAAAAATTGCTAACTCGACTACCAGGAAGGCTAGAAAAGCTGAAATTTTGGGGGAATGTTCCCTATCCAACTACAACTCAAACATTTCAAATTCAGCTTCCAGCTATGCGCTATATAAAAGTAAGGGAGTATGAAAGTTTCTGCAGGAAAATTACTGACTCGGCAACCAGAAGAGCTGAAAGGCTGGAATTTTAAGGTGATGTCCCCAGTCCACGTGCAATTTAAAAATTTCAAATCCAGCTTTCCAGACACGTAGGATATCCACTTATGGTCATGTAAAGTTTTTGGAGGAGAAATTGCTAACTCGTTAACCAGAAAAGCTGGGAGGCTGAAACTTTGGAAGAATATTCCCCAACCAAGTACAACTCAAATATTTCAAATTCAGCCCCAAGCTATGCATGGTGCTTACGTAAGGACTTATGAAAGTCCCTGCGGGAAAAATTACTAACTCGGCAACTAGAAAAGCTGGAAGGCTGAAACATTAGGGGGATGTTCCCTGTCCAAGTACAACTTAAGTGTTTCAAATTCAGCCTTGAGTCACGCGGGGTTCTTACGTACGGGCACTTAAAATTTTGGCTGAATATCTGACTGAGCAACTAGGTTACTTTAAAAGAACGATCGTTTAAATGGAAATTGTATATCTACTTTATGCAAAATTAGAGGTGATTTATGCTAGTGATCGCAAAAGACAGGTGTGAAGCAACAACAATTCATGCAGTTAATGACCTGAGTAATTGGAGTCCGGTGCAAAAACGCATGATCGCACGAGCCCGTCCGGTGCGTTCCAGCCTGGGTTGATATTGATATTATGGTTTATTATGGTTTTTTCCCCGCCGCGTGGGTATTGGTGTGTATTTTATGAAGCGTATTAGCATATACATACGCATATATATATGTACACATACATTGTATATGTATGTATGCATGTGTGTATATATGTCTACATGTAATTATTTGTATGTTCGGAATTTTGTCACCAAAGCATTCAGCTTAGCAATCGCAAAAGCTAGGAAGCTGGAAAGGCCAGTTAGACAACCAGTCCCTCTACGGTCCGTTCTGTTCGCATCGGTGGTCGGTTGATGCACACAGTTGCCAGTTGTGCATCAGATTGCTTTGAAGGAATCCTCGGAAGAGGGAGCCATCGACAGTTTTGCCAGTGGGCTGTTGTTCTTAATACGTGCTACTACTTGAGCTACTTCTCGGTGCCTCGGTCTCTCAAGAAAGAGGGGTTTTGGTATTTTTAACATTTTTGCAACAGCTTTTTCACTCGCTTACTTCTGCCGCGTTTCGTTTCGATTTTGCGCCTTTGCCCTCTTCTGGCATCCCATTTTCCTCGCTGTTTGCGCTCGCTTATCCCTTCGTACTTCATTTTCGGCGTGGTTCAGCGCACTTTTTAGTAAATTTGAGTAAATTTGGCACGCCGTCCGGCGGGCATTCAAGTGGGACGTGTTCCCTTACGTAGGTGTTCCTTTGCTATGGTGGTGTCCCGAAGTGCGTGCATTATTGGCAGTGCGCCCATTGGCGATGATGCATTCTCGCTAAGGGCCCCTACTCTACACGCTTGACCGGTTCGGGTTGTCGGTGACCGTTATCCCATCCTGTATTTCCCCATTGTTGTTGTTGTCGTATTTGTTATTGTTATTATGGTTGTCATCATTATCGTTGTCATTATCGCCATCAGTTTCTTTTGTTCGTCCTGTACACTTTTCGCATAATTAATTGTTAGTAAAGGGCAATGATAAATAAATCATGCGATTCGGCATGTGTTGAATAATCTGTTAACGAACTGTTTGAACTGTTTGGGGATGAGCCTGTAACCGAATACTCCTGGTATGCTAGCCACGATATTCCTGGGAAGAAATGGACGATCGGTCGAAGAACTAGCAGAGGCTTACTACAATTTCCATGCATACTCTCCCCGGCAAATTGTTCCAAACTGCACTTCTTATAATAGCACCAAAAAAAAAGAAAGTTTTTTTTTCACAAAACAAGGGAGACGGAGAAGGGGAGGAGGTTAAATCTGATTGAAATCTATCATTGCCGGGCGAAACTCGTAACTTCCTCTAATACTAACCCTGTTTATCCCCGCCTAGCGCCGTTTATCCTCGTCTAACGCCGTTTATCATTGTATAAAAACCATTTGTTCTCTCCAGGAGAAAAGAAAGCACTTGGAACCAGAACTGGAGACAACTTCGAACCAAAACTATCCACTGTTAGGGAGTGTTGATTGCTTAGAAATAAGCCAATGATTGTTTTGATTGGCGGACATTTGCCAGTACCAATTTACCATCGAAACGAATCATGAAATGTCGCACTGACCAAATCGAAGCACCTTCTTTTCTTTTAACATGAAAGCTCCAACGCTGCTCCTGCCAGTTCTTGCCATTATTTGTTTTTGCATAAATTACGAAAATGCAACTTTAATCTATTTGTCTGCCTCACTAATTCAGCGACTCGAATACAGAAACTAAGAATTTCAGCTCCGTTAAAAGCATTTTTTTGGCACAAGTAAAGTCACAAGTCATTTTTGTGCGGGGTGGGTGAGGCCACAATTCTTGTTTGAACTTTTAGCTCTCTGCATATCTTCGCCAGTGACCTTAGGTGGAAACTGAACTGGAACTACAAAAGAGCAGCAAACTTGTCATTTTTTTGTCTTTTTGCGTAGTTTCACTCCTATTATTTTCATGCTATTACACTTTTTCTCATTCTCTCTCTCTTTCTCTTTCACATATCCGTCCAGCAAATTAGTTACATGTCCTTTCAGTACATGGCGAGTAGGAGGCTGTACTGACGATTCCCACTCCTACACGCATACATAGTCCGATCTGTGTTTACAGCTAAGGGATGAAATACAGACTGCATCGAAAAATATCACCCTACTACATCTAAAGGATAAAGGCAGTTTGCACGATAAAATATCACCTTACATATGACGCCTGCGTACAATCCTGCTGGTCTATTATTTCAGGTCTAATTCACTCTGCCTTGATAATTTTAAAGCTAAGTAAGCTGCATTGCTTTGCGAGCAGCATTTGCAGCAACAGTAGTATCAGGTCGAGCAGGTGCTGATTGACCTTATTTGTTTCCTTTGCGACAGCTAGTTGCAAAAACGCGTGCACACATTGGTCATCAGATCTCGCAGATGTTATTGCTTCGGCTGCGTCTGCATGTCCGTAGATGAGTTGAAGTTTTTCGAGAAGTAAAAGTAGCGAGTAGTTTCAGATGCCCATCACAAAGCGTGCGATCTCGCCGGTCAATGTAAGCCTTCATCGTTTACCGGCATCGATTCAGCGTGACGAACTGGAATGCGTCGCAAATGGCACTCTGGCAAACCTGATTCGACAGCTGAGCTCGTTGAGCCGCCATGCTGAGCATATTTTTGGCGAAATTTACCACGAGGCTGTAAAATTGGACCACAAAACGAATATGCTGTCGCAGCGAATCGAACGTCTCACGCACAAAGTGTCACAGCTCGACTACACAAAGGAAGAAGGTTGCTTTTTTCTCTTCTTACACGTTGTTAATTGAATCTAACGTTAAAAAGGTCAAGACAAAAACCCTGTTTTCAGAAAATGGTTGCTATCTGCGCTTTTTCATGTTTTTTTGGCTTTTTGTACTTTTTTTTTTTTGCTTTTTATGTTTGGACGATTTGGAATTCATGTACCGAATCGTTCAGTTTTGTTCCAGTTATTTTGAGGAAGCGCCCATCTGTTTCGACCCCTCTCTTATCCGATTTAGAACTCCTTGACAAGCTGTT